GAATGAATGAATGAATGAATGAATGAATGAATAAATGAATGAATGAATGAATAAATGAATAAATAAATAAATAAATATATAAACCAAGCATAATTATCATGTGACACAGCTTTCTTAAAGGCCGGCGGTCGTCGCGCCGTATCCTGTTCGATATGAGACTCAGTGTCACACACAACGCGTGTAAATACATTGTTGTTTACATGAATTTCGATCACGCGCTGCGCGACGACCACCGCCGTTTAAATTATTTTTGTGAAATACTTTTGGCACACTGTACGCACAGTATTTCAATTACTTATAAACAAAAAATAGTTTTCGCTGCGTGATATACACATGTGCGTGCGTTCTTAATTACTGGTACGTACTATTAATTCAAAGTTCATGTGTATATGCGTACCTCTTTATTTACGTGATAATAGTATTTTAAGATCTCTGACATTTTTTTTTCTAGTTTGCCATTAATCATAGCCAAGGCCATTCATTAGAATGCAATGACGAGTTGTTATAAAATACTCAAAACTTTTCCTATTACCTGTTTTAGGAACTGCCAGAAAATGCTTAAAATTGAAAAAAGAATCAGGAGACTTGGGAAATTGTCCTGCTCTAAATGTATGTAAAACATATTCAAATAAAGAAATGATAATGTCTGCGACGTTTCATTTTTAGTTGCAGAGTTTGAAAGCCAGGACAAGCGACGACCTTGCGGCCTACTCAGTATTGGATGACGTCATCGAGAAGGTCGCCATCAACGTTGAATGGGCGAAATCCTACGTCGACGATGTTGCACGATTCCTTGAGAGTGACGACGTTCAAGACATGATTTGAAACAGAACGATTGTCTCAAAATTTTCGGATTATTTTTACATTCAGTAGATGTTGTTTAACGTGCAGGACACTTTCAAAATGGCGGCGCGTATAAGTCGACGTTTTACTGACCGTCTATACAAAACCGCGGTCTATGTTGCTAAATTCCAACTTTATTGAAATTTTCTGAATTACTAAAAAAGACCAATTTTCACGTATTTCATTGTACCAGGCGTTAGCCTGTTGGCATAGGCATGTTCAGGGAACCATCGTTCGCCACTATTTATTCCCATCGAAACTGCAGTCTGTGCATTTAATTTGTTTTTGGATCAAACTGCATTATCGTCAGGTATGGTCACAAATACGGCCATTTAGCGCATGCGCAGTGAAAATATATGTTTTTAGTATACGACGAACTGGGTTAAGACGTCTCGCGAAGTTGAACGAACCTTATATATAGGAATTGTGGCGCATTGACGTCATATCCTGTTTGTACATTGCATAATTTAGGGGTAGACTATTACTCTTGTTGAGGAGGGTTAGGTTAGAATTTAATAGAAATATTCTGCACGAGAAAGAAATGATCGACAAATTAAACCAAAATGTATGATACATTAAAGCGGGGGAGTCGTCACCTGCGCATGCGTCAGATGGCCATAGCGTGTCATTGTTTACAAACAAGTGCCTACCCATGAGCCTTTGCGTTCTTAGCGTGTGTTGTTATCGTCGCTTGGGACTCAATTCCCGCGCGTGCGCAGGTGACGACCCTCCCGGTTTAACGTTTCGTTACGTGTCAAGTTGCGCTGTAGAATAATAGCATTTTTGTATGTTTATTTTTTAAATATTCATTTAAGAAATGTATATTTTATAATATTGAATATTTAGTTCAATTTTGAATATAATACCATGTTTTTGATATAAGAATGTTTGTGGTTCACGTGTTGCATCCACACACTGGCGACTACCGCTAATTATAGCATATGACAACTTCAATTTACATAAATTTTCTTTTCATATGTTTTTTCACAAAATTCTGAATCAAAATCCTTTTTATAACACAAATATGGAAATTTTGTTTCAATAATGAACTTAGCTGACCCGTTAAACACATTTTTTTTTATTTATCTCACATGTTGTAACAGAAAACATTCTCTAGCTCTTCAGCTGTCAGTACTGGCAAGCACGTGGTTTGACCGACATTTACTGCGCATGCGCTAGTGAAATTATGATTCAAAGCAGGAATGTCGACTGTAATTTGTGGAGTGCTATGCAAGACATCAAACATTGCGACTGTGATGTGTTGACTCAGGAACACACAAAACATCAAAGAAACCAGAGAGCTTTCAGGTTTAACTTCTTGTTTATTCCGCCATTTTCAGTTACACCAATGGCACTACTTTTTACATATCAATACACTCGGGTGATCAGGTGACATATAACATCATTACAAAAGTATGTATTCTGACGCATGCAATAAAGTAGTCCCAAAAACGCCACAGTGACACAGAGACAAAAAGAGGACTATGAGTTCTGTAAACCAAAACGATTATATACACTGTTCCAAACTGTTATCAAACGAATCCCAACTTGTGTGTTGCAAAAGCAACGATGTTTCATTCACAGTAAATCATAATTCAATGTGTTCATTAACATATATTATTACGTGTGTATGGCGGATTAATTTGGTCATTTGGAATAACATTTGTACTGTCTAACAGGCAAAGAAAATAATCCCTTCTATAATTTAAGTTTTCCTGGCATTTAATGCATATCTTAAATTGTCACAGTACAATTTGACATTTCTCGTTATTTGTTAAAAGTGATGCTATGCTTGTATATATTTAAAGCGGAGAGTCGTCACTTGCGCATGCGTCAGATGGCCATAGCGTGTCATTGTTTACATACATGCGTCTACCCAAGAGCCTTTGCGTTTTAGCGTGTGTTGTTATCGTCGCTTGGGACTCAATTCCCACGCGTGCGCAGGTGACGACCCTCCCGCTTTAAATAATAAAACGTCCAAAGTCAAACGAAGAAATAACTACACAAATTAGTCACGTGCCCCAGAAAAAATTATAACGGCAAATAATGAAAATGAGTCAACCGTCTTCACGGCGTATGTTATATTATAGCGGATAAGCCATTAAAAAGTAATTATTCAAATTATTTTGATACATTTGTTTTTAAATCTAAAAATCCCGCGTGAAATCGGAAGTATATTAGGCGATATTTCCACGCTTAATAATGTGCTGTACACATTTGATGATGGTCAATGTCGATGACGTAAGGGTGTTCAAACGCAATATCCTCCTGTCAAAGATCGGCCTTTCGATGTGAGCTATGAAGTAAAGAAATTCGAGTTCAAAATCAAATCGTTTGATTTTTGCGGCAGACGTTCGACGCGCGTCTTTCACGCAACTCGCGAGATCTTGCAGTCGAACTGAAAATCACCTATTTATATTTGCTTATTCCGCGTCCTACGTACGAAAATCAGAACGAGGCTATGACGTTTTATCATCATAGTGGACGACAACATCACCAATTTCTACGTATTACACATTGTTCATTGAGTGCATGGGACGAACGTGATATTTCCGATATGTCACCTTTGACCTTCCAACTAACAGGTGTGGAGAGCAACAATTGACCGGATAGAAACATACTTTCTAAAAATAACAACATCAGTGTTCAGCACAAAACATGAAATTCTGTCACAATGTACAGATGGGTCTAGGATTAAATACTATTGAACGTTGCATTGCAGCTGGTGGGGCAGCTGTCGACAAATTATTTGAATGGGAAGTTGACTGTGTGACTGTGAAATGGCAAGTATAATGATATAATATCATGTCACAACGATGTAAACAAAATGGAAGCCACTTACATCCGGGAACTAAAATGTCATGTAAGCATTAGTTGTAGACAGACGTGGGATTGCTATTGGTGTTCTGCGCCATCTTGGTGTCATTTAGGCCAGGTTGAGCACAAGCACAAGTTCCCTAAGGTTATGATAATAATCTTGGCTTACGTAATTTACCTCCCAATTGAGCCTGTGTCTGACTCGCCCAGGTTAATATTTTTACACCTTTGGATGTTTCATCCCAGTTAGATTGAACACGGGTTCATGGCTCTGGCATAATAACAAAACCTACAGCTGATCGGTCGCCATCTTTTCGATTCCATCTGCTACATAGTATTCGTTACCCAGGCGACACGATGACAGAATATGAATATGTATTTGCATATTCAAATTGCATTCAACATATGTTGGTCTATCCCCTGACAAATATTTACACCAACAAATTTTGAGATTTTGTGTGAGTAATGAGAATTAACTGCAGTATATGTATTTAAGTGGGCCACTTAAATTAAGCTAGATTTGTGAACAATAGACACCCAATGAGCTACATTGTAGGTTTGTCTGAGGAATAAGTCTGTTTTAGCGAAGGTTGTTATCGTCAATTCCTGCGCATGCGCAGGTGACGACCCTTCAGCTTTCAAATGTGAGATGGGTATCGTATTTTAGTGAAAAATAGTTTGAGGAATAATTGTATGGCGTTTTGGATAAAAGTATTGGCAATGAGGCCCAATAATGAAGGGGGGTCTGAGCATTGTTGCGCATGCGCGTTTCGTATAGTACTTAATCGGATTCGACATTCTGTATTGTTGTTTATTTGCGGATTTATGTAGTCAGTGTGTGTGGTCGTGTGGTACATATTTGTATGCGAAGAAGCCAATGACCGCGCGCGCTGCGAACGAGACTATGCATAATTTACGTCATCAAAGAGACTACCTAGCACACTACAAACTAGTCCATTGACATACACACGTCATTAGCCGTGCGTGACCAAATTAATATTAGTTGACTTCACTATAATAATTTCACTCGTTATTTACGTTTAATACGTATCGGCTGTAATTCCGTACAATATAAACTCAATGAATTAGTTGATTGATTGATTGATTGATTGATTGATTGATTGATTGATTGATTGATTGATTGATTGATTGATCCTATATATCTCCATCACCAGTTTCTTATGCCATAAGTCTGTACTCGAGTAATGTATTACTGGTATGTAGAGTTAAACAGTCAGGTAACGCAAATAATTTCATAAACTTGCCAACAAAGTGTCCTGTGCGCAATATGCTTTAACGCACTCGCTATGATAGTTGCAATAAGAGGCACAAGAATAAGCGTGGTGACAGACAACTCGCTGAGGAAAATATATACAGCGCCAGTAAACAACACTTCGTATTGGAAATTTGGTGCTAAAAAAATGTATTTTTCACTTGCTTGCTTGATTGACACTTGTTTTACTTCTTCGCTTTCGTCGGAAAACACGCATGTGTGACGTTTTTGGGACTACTTTATTGCATGCGACATAATACATACATTTGTTATGGTGTTATATGTCACCTGGTCACCAGAGTGTACTGATATGTAAAAAGTAGTGCTGTTAGTTAAAGTTAAACGTGAAAGCTCTCTGGTTTCTTTGATGTTTCACGTGTTCCTGAGTCAACACATCACAGTATGAAGCATAGCACGCGTAATAAAAAGTAGTGTCAGGCAATTAAGAATCTCACAAGCCAAGGATGATATTTCTTCCAAGAGTTGGTGGATGTGTTATCTTACACGAATGTGCAAAAAACAAAGACTGTGGAGAAATGTTATCCCATGACTCGAATGTGTGTATGGGGTGGGGCATTTTTTCCCCATCACCTCTGAATACGCGATAAAACAGATGTTTTAGATTAGATAGGAACAGCCTCAAAAAAACTGGATGCATTATTCCTCGCCGGAGAACCTACTTCGTGGTTGCTATGCTGCTGATACAAACTCCGTGGCGAGTTTCACTGCTGAAACATTCAATAAAAAAAAATGAGAATACTCTTCATTCGGTATTGACAATAATACGAGGTAATGGCTTCCCGGCCTTTTAATGCGCTTCATCCCGGCATCAACAAGACCTTTTTGAACATGAAGACCTGCATACCAATGTTCACCGAATTCGCATTCATAACTGAATGAGTCTTGTCCGTAGCTTTTTTCAGCTTTGGTCTCATACCCCTGGAATGGGGTCGACCCATTATTTGGTGCTATATTTTAGTTATTTACCACGATTATCTAGGAACTAGAATGATCAAGATGGCGGATTTGATGACTTACCCAAACAATATATCACATGATGGAGAAACCTGCAATTAACATAAACACAGTCCAGAATGTTACCTGCGATAAGTGCATGGTACTGTCTTGTATTACTAATTTACCTAACGCAGTGTTTCTACATTAAGTTATTAACTACCCGAAACATACTTCGCCAAGAGGAATGAACCCTTGCCACTAGTTTTTCGAACAAACGCACACGCAACGCCACCAACAATTTAAGTACCTTAGCAGTCAAATACGGAACACACCACACAGTGGTTAAATACTATATAGACGATGATAGAGAATACAAAGCAAACACGACTGTGTTGAATACAGAATCCAAGGTATATTGTACATATGGGTCGTACCCTGGCAGTTCATTCACTATGTCATATGAAGATTCTGTTTAAAGTGGTTTAGCTGTAAGACGCCGCCACTTAAAAGTCAAAATTATGACAGTTGATTCATAGCTACAGACGGGCTCATAAATAATAACAGTATAATTGGCTTTTAAAAGGAAGTGTAATTTACTATAAATAACATTTTATTTAAAAAAATATGAGGGGGTATAATCACTTACGTGTCTGTACAATTTACATTCAACATTTGATTAGTAAATGAGTTAAAACTTAAACAGCTCACAGCCTACTTTTAAACATAAAATGTTTAAAATGAAATCAGTGTTGTGATAAGTTTAAACTATTTTAATATAAGCTCCACGCGACAAACACCCAAAGTGCTAACAGTGTATTAGCACTATCCAAAAAAATAATATGACGTCACGTCTCTGAGCGCCTATGAACTTGCATCAAAAGTTTAATCAATAAAATGTTCAGAAAAGAATACTTGTTTTGGAAAATCTATAAGTTTCGTCATCAGACAAAATCTGAGTGAAGTCTTCATTGAACGCAATAGACCATTTTCCGTACACTGCAAGAATCACGCGTTATGCGTGAAATCGAACGTAAAAACAGGACAAACAAAGGTCATAGCGTCGTAGTCGCGTCAAACATCGCGTGGGATTCGACAAACGCGAAAGTATTTTGGGGACATTTCCATGCTTAATAATGTGCTGTCCACATTTGATGATAGGCAATTTCGATTAAGTAAGGGTATTCGGAAGCAATATTCTTCTGTCGAAGATCGGCCGGTCGATGTGAGCTACGAAATAAGGAAATTCGAGTTCAAAATCAAATCGTTCGATTTTTGCGGCAGACGTTCGACGCGCGTCTTTCATGCATCTCGCGAGATCTCGCAATTGTACGGAAAATCACCTATTCAACAAACTATTACATTTTAGTAGCAACACCGGAATCCAAACCTCAAGTCTTTCGATTAACTTTACTCCGGTCATTTGAAGCAGGGAATTACAGCACAAAGCGTATCGAGTGTCGCGTGTACAATATAATCGATTTATTGAAGTACAGGCGAGTCTCCAGTTGTTGATATATCAAAAGGTATTATATACACGCTTTCGTTATTTTTTACGTCGTAATATGTAATATGGGGAATAGAAAAAAACACAGTCAGCCTGGAAAAGTTATTTCAACTTGGGTGACCTCATTTCGTGACTCCTGTAACGATACTGAAATACGATATATATAAAAAAAATGATAAAAGCAAGTAAAAACCAAACAAATATTCATAAATTAGCAAAAATAGCAATCAAAAATATAAAATTTAAATTTATGAGAAAAGATGCGGATAAAAGTCTAAGAACATTTATGGTATTCACGGGGGCGGACATGCGGGCATTTCACCGCATGGCAACAATCACGATGAAAACAAAGCCCGAAAACTCTCAGAAAACGGTACTTTGGGATGGTTGTTGAGACTTCCCTGAACAGTATAACAAGATATATAAATTTGATTGTTCAGGATTACATCAAAGTTGAGTTCCTGTTGTTTTCTCGAATTTTCACCGGCTCTTCGCTCGGCGTTCCGCTTTCCTCAGCATGGCGCACAGAGCCCATAGAAATACGTGGTACAGTGGTGCGCGTCTTAGCAACGTGGAACGTCTTGTGACGTAGCTCCGCCCACGAGGATACAAGTTCTAGGATAACTTATGAGATAATTCTGAAACATTTAAGTGTTAATAGGCAAATACAAAACAATAGCTTATCAAAGTTTCGGGAAATTTCTGTTCCAAAAGTGTGTTAGGTAATCACAGAGCATAATGCATACACGATTGTCGCGTGTTAACACTAATCGATTTGTTCGAGTACTTACGATTGGTTCATTGTTGGCTTGAAAGGGAGAATTACATATCATATGCACGCTTTCATTCACCGTTATTTCGACATCGTATTATATAATACTGGTTAGAAAACCAAACAAAATCAACTATTAAATCTTGATATAAAGATGAAGAGATAACAGTTTATTGGCTTTTGTTATTTTCGTAACCCCGACATACTTAGTATATTTAGTACCAAATCATGAAATAGGCAAATGATGATCGATTTTTTATTATCAATTAATAATTATATGATATAAGAAGGAATTAAGTTCGACTTGATAGGTATATTTTAAATATGTTGAGTCAAGAAAACATTCAACTTCTTTAAAAAAAACCAAAAAAACTCGTCTTTATTAAGGTAGCAAGATAGTTTTGGGGGGACTTTTCAATGTATTTTTCAAAAATGGGAGAAATAACACTTTGGCATTAACCTTATGTAGTGACATATTTATTTTGCTGAAAAGAATGTGTGTTTTTTTCTGGTGAAAAAATGCATGTTTTTCTCTTTCTAAAAAGCATAACTACTTCATTAATATTCATGACTGACAAACATAACTGAACAAAGCCGAGATAATGGCAAATAGGAGTACTTTTAATGTTTGTCATTTGTAAACACCTACAAATAACAAAGATGTGCTTACTTCTAGACAAGGGAAGGCTGCACAATGTAGTACCCACCCAAACACTGCCACATTTCTGGAGGCTGTTTGTCCATATATATGTACTGTAATATATGGCCATGTACAATTAAGGCGCGTACTCGTCGCGCTACGCGTGTTCGAATTTCGTGTAAATAAACAATGTATTTTACATGCGTTGTATACGTCGCTATGAGTCCCATATCGAACAGGACGCGGCGCGACGACTGCCGCCCTTTAACACGAACACTGCTACATACAAAGTATTCAATGTTTCAGTAGTTACGTCTTTTCCAATATAATTCTATTCCGAATGTAATATTTTAGTGTTAACAGCCAGTCACAAGAAATAATTTAACACTTTAAAACAATTCTATCTCAAAAGCGCGTTAGCCGCTAATATGATTAAAAGTATGCGCACATATCAACAATGCAAAACTAGAACTCGTCCTCAGTCTTCTGATTTAGAAACGCCTCAGTATTACTAACGTTTTCACTGAAGGAAACGAACCAACGGAATAGGTGATTTTCCGAACAATTGCGAGATCTCGCGAGATGCATGAAAGACGCACGTCGAACGTCTGCTGCAAAAATCGAACGATTTGATTTTGAACTAGAATTTCTTTATTTCGCAGCTTACATTGACCGGCCGATCTTCGACAGAGGAATATTGCTTCCGAATACCCTCACTTAATCGAAATTGCCTATCATCAAATGTGGACAGCACATTATTAAGCATGGAAGTGTCCCCGAAATACTTTCGCGTTTGTCGAATCCCACGCGATGTTTGACGCGACTACGACGCTATGACCTTTGTTTGTCCTGTTTTTACGTTCGATTTCACGCATAACGCGTGATTCTCGCAGTGTACGGAAAATGGTCTATTAGAATACTGTTTCTAACAGTCCAAGTACTCAGCAATGTGAATAGAGAGCAAAATACAAAAAAAACAATCCCAACTATATACAAAGCAGCCACAACTAAAATACAAATCTCATGTCGCGTTCTTATATCTCTAATTTGCCGAAAAATAAGTTTCCAATTAAACATGCTCAGCACGATCTTCGTAAAAAAAAAAAACGTTCCACGCGATTCGTGACAGACCGTCAATAAATAAACCATCACTGTCGACAAGTCGCTTAAACGATAGAGCTTCATATTCGGTAATTGAAGTCTCAACAGCGTGGGGTTTGGTTAAAAATTAACTGGGCATAGTAATTTACATATTAATGGCTTTTGTTTTGTAAATTTCATACCAGCATACGTGCAAGATTCAGGACTTATCGGGTTAATAAATCGCTTAAACATCTAATAAAGTATACACGTTTTTTTACAGTACCAGTGATTAATTTGTCACACACTACGAATGTATAGAAATCGTCTATTATGGCTTCTTTTCATGGCACGTCATGCCAACAATACTCCAGTACAGTATTCATTCCTGTGACATCAAGTATATATTTTAAGTAGGGTTTAAGTAGACTTCTTCTTTCAAAATCCGGGTATATATCTTTGTGACGCTCATCTGTGCAACATAAGCTGAGGCTTCCTTGCAGTATATCCGGCGTGTATCGTATAGGTAAGTTTAGTTTAAACATCGTGGGTTATGTAATGCATATGTTTGTATGTATGTGTGTGTGTATGTATGCAATGGAAGTCGGTGAAATTTCGAGTCGTGTTTATGATGTGTTTAACCTTTTCACCACCAGACTTTTTACGCCTAAATTGTTCTGCACTTTTTCCAATATTTCAGAAAATAAACCCTCATTTTTGAGCCAACGGACACAATTTGAGTCAATTTGTTACTTTGCAGGGTACAAAAGGGACTATTTTGTAATGAAAAGTGAGAACTGGTATGGTGGTGAAAAGGTTAATGTATGGAGACTGTGTCCATTTTGCGCTAAATATTGATTTTCATATTGGTTGTCATATGATATAATGCACCACATTGTGAGGCCAATATACCTTTCTTTTTTTTGATTTGACTATGAACGTAATGTACTTGTTGATTGTTCGTGTTTTGTGTTCTCGGACTTGTAAATTCCTTTAGGTTATGTATTTCGATAATGTTTGAGTATGCTGGATATATCTATTTAACATTGGCCAGTATAAGATGCTATCAATTGTACAATTATCCAAAAAAACGCTGCATGGCGCACAGCAAAAGCTACACATGGTGGAATGTTGTATATATGTCTCAATTTGGGTGCTTTGTCTTCTGTCATCCAAACTTTTAAACCAAGAGAATACGACTAGACTAAGCATTCAAACAGGTTTGATTGACTGATACAATACGTTTGTACAATTGACCATACATTAACACTGTTACATGGATGATCTCAAACGACATCAATGTGAATTGTTTGAAGTGGACGTCAGGTTTCATACAGAAACCATATGATTAGGACTCAGATATATGGCGAGTGTCACATGTGGAGGAGGATATGCTCACTTATTTTTTAATCACATTCATATCAACCATTGGTTGGAATTGATTTTCGCTTTTTTCGCTGAAGCAATGATTCAGTGGAAATAAGATCGATAAAATATGTACATTTTCCCCTATATTTTACATTCAATTTGTCACAAAATCTGTGCACATAAATTCCATACAAAACCACCCGGAAACTATATTCAGCGATTATTGATTGAAGCTAAAATAAAGTATTTTACAGTATCATTTTTTCACTGATTCGACCAGGTTTTGTAAATGTATTGCTTATGTAGTTGTCATATGTGCATGCACTTAATGTTTAATGATCTACGATTATTTTAACATCTCCATTTCCATGTGCATACTCACAACAGTGAATACAGTTACTACAATTGCAGAAATACTTTCAGTATCACGCATTAGACAAAATTATTCATTGTTTGTTTTTACCAATGTAGTGCAATTCGTCATTGTCTTTTTCGTTACACTTCTCGAGGTAAAGCGAAGCTAATTACAAGAATGTGACTGATTGGCTACCCAACACCTAACTGTCTAGCCAATCGGAATCAGTCAGGCTGTATTAACGTATTATTAGTTATGTCGATTGATCTTCTTATTTGTTAACACTGTGTACCAATGACTCGCAATCAATAAATACGTCATGCAAATGTAATTACGATAATTATATATCCATGCATAGCAAAAACTATGAAATGTGTCGAGTCGACAAAAAAAAACATATACATCAATTTGTTTACCATAATTTTCACAAAATTGTGGAAATTTTGAAAGATCTTGTTTATTTTTCAATCAAATCTTCTTATAAAAATGACACTATTTACATTATACTGAAGACACAGTATGAACGAAATCGTCTGTTTTTATTATTATTATTCAATACTCCATATACTGTATACTAAAACCGATAATGATTTATCATAAACACTAATACGCATGTCAATGATCGTGTCATGTTTGTTTGTTTGTTTGTTTGTTTGTTTTCATGTCTTGTTTTAGATATGGTAATCGATTAGCCGTATACCTGTAGGCATTCATATTAATAATTGCATTTTTTGTATTTGATTATTATTTTGTCAGATTGAATACAACTAAAGATGACTTATTTTCGATTACTCGTACTGACCGTTGTGCTTTCCGTGTTATTATTGGCGGTCGAGGTAAAGTATATTTTAATCACATTGAAGAGGGGAGAGTCGTCACCTGCGCACGCGTCAGATGGTCATAGCGTGTTATTGTTTACAGACAAGCGTCTACCTATGAGCCTTTGCGTTTTTAGTGTGTGTTGTTATCGTTGCTTGGGACTCAAATCCCGCGCGTGCGCAGGTGACGACCCTCCCGCTTAAGTTCAATAATCAGAACTCTGTAGCATAACGTATATTAGTAGTTCATGATCAACACACAATATTACTTGTGTCTACTGGTGTTGTGTTTAGTGGTAGACCCGAGTTTTAGTACCGGAAACGGTAACCCTTCTCTGGGTGAGTGCGCTATAGATTCAATTCGAAGGCCAAGCCCGTTGGCGGAGACTCAGTCGCTAACGGTATCGACTTTGTAGGAACTTGAACCTTGCGTTCAAAGAACGATGGTCACACATCCCTGTCGCGTACATTACCAAAAACATGAAATATGGTTTTCATGTCAAAATGCTCTAAATGAACCGTCGGAACTTCACTTGCACAAAATGTCAGGAAACAACAGTGGCATTTCTTGTCGGGGATCGTCAGCTGTCGCAAACATAATTAAAATTAGTATATGTCTACGTGTAATAGTTCATGCCTGTTTCGTCCCACAGTGAATAATAGTTAGTAAATTGTCCATTGTGTGAAGTTTAGGGTTAGGGTTTGTTGAGTTCGTGAAGCAAATTGTATGAAACGCCATCATTCATGCATCAACGTCATTGCTTATCGCGATGACGACACTGGCAACAACGATGACGTAATTGCTGCAAAATCGTGTATGTATGGCGTTTTCGACAACATTGACACAAGCAACTGTAAAAAACAATAAATTTTGTGCATGTGAACATTCGTCTAAAAATGTGTTTATTTCAGTGATATTGGTGTTTATTAATTACGATCAATCTATATTACGTCATTATATACGTCAGAAACAGTAACGACCGTATACTATTCTTTTCACAGGGTAGTGACTTCGAAAGAAGACTGAGTAAGTAGTTTCTTTTCTTTGATTCGCCTAAAATTTGAATATGAATATGTTAATGAATTAAATGACGTAGGTGGCCGAGAACAAAGAACTGATACCGGGCTAGACAAATGTCCCATTATGATCTAGTACTGTAAAATACTTTATTTTCGATTTGAATTAATTTTGGCAATTTTCGCTGAAGGAATAATTCAGTGAAAATGAAATCCAGCGAATATACTTTTATTCCTATATTTCACATTCAACTCATCAAAAAACAGTGAAAATAAATTCCATACAAAACGCCCAACAAGTCCGTCTTTTCATGAAAATTAATTCCAGCTAAAATAAAGTACTTTACAGTAGTACATATTAATGACCTGAGTGTCACGTATTTTGAACATCGTTTCTTTTTACGAAAACATTGTCATATCTTTGTTCAATTCGGAAACACAAATAAGGGAACAAAAACTGAAATAGTACACGTTATGTTTCTTTCTTATCCACAAAAGTTTCCCTCGTTCACATTATCAAACCGGAGAGCTGTGATTGACCGATTCCACTGACGTCAAATGATGTCAAATCCACAATTCTCAGTTGAAAAAACAACATATAATAAGACTGTAGACAGCAAAAAGAGAGAGTATTTCGTTTCAAATTGTGTGCACTGAAATGGTGGGAGTCGTCTAGTAAGACGCGTTCGAACTTCGGCTAAACAACGCGCTGTATGCATCGAACAGAACGCGGCGCAGCGACCACGGCCCTTTAAAACAGACTCTCCGAATAAGGTTAAAGGGCGGTGGTCGTCGTGCCGTGTTCTGTTCGATATGAGACTCATAGCGACGTACACAACGCGTGTAAAATACATTGTTTGTTTACATGAAATTCGAACACGCGCTGCCCGACGACTACCGCGCTTTAATGTTTACATGAATACGATATGTGGTATGATTGATCCTACACCAATATATCTAATCTCGTGTCGTATTTAACGAGTATGTACATGACCGAAGCTCTTAAACGCTTGCTATTGTATTAAAAATTATAATGAATTTCAAGATCGTTGCACGCGACAAATTCAAAAAAGCTCATTGTCGCCATTCTATCAAAACCGTATTTCATCTTTGTCAATGTCATTTATAACGATCTATGCAATTTATGTGTCATTATGGAAATAAAAAACTAATTTATTTTACGACGGCGGAAAATATTTGTACTTTGACTTCAATGTTCACTGTGACGAATCTGACAGTATCTGTTCGTGAGAGTGAGACGAAACCATCATGCAGACGATTTCGTAGGTATATTGAGCGCCAATGTCTATTTCCTATAAGTCTCTCACGCGTAGACCACACAAAACCAACATATTTCTGATCAAATGTTTTTGAAAAATGCGGCAGTAAGGCGACCAGCAACGTTAATTATTGTTGTTAAGCTTTTTTTTTTTTAAAAAAATACTGCTTTTTTGGTAAATTAAAAATGAAGAATGACTACCCATCCAAACAGAATTACCTATTCGGAATTGCCTGACATCATTGTGACGTCACATAAGTGTTTCGACGATAGAGGGCGTGACTTATGAAAACGTGTACTTTTTGACGGCTAGAATCGGTGTCACAGTCGCACATTAATTGAGATAAATTATTTGTATAGACTCGTTAGCGACATTTATTTGGTACGATTATGCACGCATTACGGAAAATATATAAAGATTCGCTCTAGTAATTCGGAATCAGTGCGATTCTTTAGTGATGCAAATAGGAAGTCGAAACCATTGCCAACATTCGAATAGACGACTTTCCCGGAAGTCGAAGATATGGCTTTTCGCATGCGCGTTTTGGGGTGTAACGTAAACTTGCACGCGTGATATTGTGCTTCTGGGTGTACCAATTGACGTAACAACAATAAAATTCCCTTCTATCGACTATCAGTAAACTGACATGGTTGTATTTTCCGCCATGACAAAGCAGGAGTATTTTTTGCACCCCAGTTAGTTTTGCTACTTCCGGGAAAGTGGTCTATGAGCTGAAAATTGTTGACATCCAAACATTGAGGGCGTATTTCCAAACATTCACGCAAAATACACAAATGAACCTAAAAACATCATCCGAATTATGCAACGCATGTCAATTTCATGAATAATTTATTGTTACTTACAGGTGCACGTGCTTCGAAGAAAGGTGGAAAGGAACGTATGTATATTTTGTTTTTCATAACCACGTGTAACTTTGTTCCACCGATGACGTCACCCCGATTCTCCCAGTACCGCCATCTTGGATTTGTTAGAACTTTTATCACTGTTGAAATGACCATCGATTTATCGTTCCTGGCCGTTTCCATAACAACTGCAATCAGTCACTTTTTGTGCATGTACATTATCCTGAACAATGTCGAGTGATTTGTGAAATAATGACGTCACATGCGTAGGCAAACTGTCTATCCCGCGCACATACAGATATTGTTGTATATCTATACAGTGAATGGCACAAAGCTGTGGTCGTTATATACATGGTTTTTTTATACATTAAAATGAATGTTGGAATTCAAATTGAGCAATCCGGAAATGGTATTGGGACATCAAGTTAATTAGTTAATATTAACGAGACTGTTCAATATTATCTTATCAACAACCGCCCCATTTTTGACTGTCGGTCGCAGGTGCTATGTAGTGAGAATGCATGCGCGCGAATTTTGGGCGTAAACAATGTCAGCTCTCGAGACAATCACTATTGAATGTTTGAATTTGAATGAAAGCTGATGATCGGTTTTTACATTTTTTATAAATATGTTTGTAAGCAAAGTTCCAGTTTTGTGCCTTTCACTGTAATCACGGATTTATAAGATGATAGTGTGCAACGTACATAACCATGTACAATAACATGCGATGAAGATCTCGCGAGATATGAACTCTCGCGCTTTCCAGGTGTTTGAAAGCTACCTCATATACAAAAGCGCGCTTTGCGAATAGTCTGTGATAAATACAAATTCGTTCTGTCACAGGTGCACTAATTTGTACGAGAATTGCTAAAAATGTATATTTTGCGATTTTGTGTTCTTCGCACAATTCGCGTGAGTTCTTCATTCATGTTAACAATGTATTTTACACGCGTTATATACGTCGCTATATCGAGCATGACGCGGCGCGACGACCACCGCCCTTTAAACGTTGTTTGTTTGTTTGTTTATTATTGGCAGGATGCGATTATTACGGTACTTTATACAGAGAAGGACAAACATGGAACGTGATAGACGATTTGTGCAATACATGGTAAATAACAATATTTCAAGACACATTTTCTATAAATCACACCCTCTAGCGACAAAGTATTTGCCATCGCGCGATCTCGCGTATTGCGCGATAGGTGTGGACCGAGCGTCTGTCGCATGATCGAATGATTTGATTTTGAACTTAATATCATTTTTTTAGGTCCAATGTCAAAATGCCAATTTTTCAGAAAGATTTTGGCTATTGTAACAACATTGCTAACCCCGCCCACATTGCAAGCAATGCCTTATTCGTATTAGCAAATTTAATAGTATTACTATTTGTGATTCCCAAATTTCGCGCGTGTCATCCGTATATAACCAGCCATAGCGTAAGTAATGTGACTCTGCCAGATGTGCATCTCAAATCGGGACTCTCCGGACATGGGGGGGGGGCGCAAGCAAGACGTCTGCATTTACTATGGCGGTAAAAGCAAACGTGTCAGTCTGCTTGTGTTCGGCAATAGAGCGTCTCATTAAACCATGTCTATTGCATCCACGCGCACAACGTAAAGTTTTGCACGCCATGGCCGGCATACGCGCGCGTGCGTGCAAAATGTCGTATCTCCAACTTCCGGGAAAGTGGTCTATTTAGCTTTAACAAATGCCAGTTAGATTTAAAGTGTTGCGAATGAATCTTGTCTCATTTTTTTTTTCTTTTCAGCGTTTGTGAGAAAGATACTAGCGGCGTGTTAGATTATTCTTGTACTGATGACGTTTGTTGTAAGTACGCCAACAGACCTTAAATACTTCTTTATTGCCAGTTAAGTAGTGACCTGAAACGCAAAGGGGCCGCTGTGTTCTCGTTGATGGCGAGAATTCCACGCGACTTGTTTTTTTTGTTTTTCAAACAGTCCCACCGCCGTGTTCAGTGCACAAAATATATAGATTACAGTGGTCAGTGGAATTTTGGGCATTGGGAAGGAAAGGGTTGGAACACAATTTGAAGGACTTAGTGGTTCTCAACTCTCATCGAGATTTTGGCGGCCATTTTGCGTCTACGGTATATAAAAAGTTAACTGTAGAGGGGGTAAACAAAATCTTTTTTTTCTGTAAGAAACTACGCGTAGACAGTCTTACACGTTTCTTAACGTTAGTGTTGTTTTTTTTCCTTGTGGATTTTTTTCTCAAATCCACCACCCCCACACTTTCTAACGGTTAACACCAAAGCAATAACTGAGGCCAAGCCAAACAGGCGGAATCAATGGAAGCTATCCACAAAATTGTGTCTGATTGGCCAGCCAACCCTAATACCAAACAGTTAGATTAATCAAAGGGCAGTTTGTTGACACTTTTTTCGACGTATCGAATTCTGCCTTGTTTGTTTCGACTCAACTGAACATACGGAGCGCCTGATATCAATATGCTCGGCGCGAGGTGCAGCGCCCCCACCGATGAACTAGGCACAAATTTGAATCCAAAGACGGCTTGAGGGCGCAGTAACTCACGCCTCCCATTGTTTTGTGTGCATCATGATTTGCGTGGTGCAACCAATCACGTTATTCAGGTTTATTCTGTAAAACTCGATCGAATACACGTGTAGAAATTAAAACATAGATCATTTTCGTCACTTCCTGTTAGCTTAGAAGATAATGTTCTCACTAACTATAGTTTTGAACTTTTCAATTGTGGAGCATGATACACTGATGAGACACGTGGTCAAGGTGTCATATGCAAATGAATGTGTAATATGAATAACGATGAAATCAGTCCACGAATTAGGCAGGTGTCTGATTGGTATGAATGTAATGTGTTCGCATTTGCTCAGTATCAAAATCAGGCACCACTGGGATTCGAACCCAGGATCTCCTGTTTACTAGACAGGCACTTTAACCAACTAAGCCATAGCGCCAGGTTTATATGACAAAATAGGTTATTTTCGGTCTTTACGCTATGTCAGTTTATGTTATCTAGACATCTGCGTTTAGCGTATTTTCCAGTCAGCGAAATACGAGTAAGTAAAATTAAAACCAAGTGAATAGTCACCCCTTTTACTGTAGTTGACGGTAGAGTAAATGTCGGAGAAGACTTTGGTAACTTCCTGGTTACTGTTTTGTTTCTTGTTTTCATTCTGTTAGTTTATGGAGCCGGCAAGTAAACCTTGGTACGGATAAACTGGAAAGCACATCGCAGTATTGTTTCACAGTGTCCCGGATGTAGAAACACGGTACTGCCCGAGAGTGACATTGTACATTTCAAAAACCGCCATTATGACGTCATAACTGTGATGTGTTCATGGAATAAAGTTATTGAACCCTGAACCTGTGTCTGTGGTGTTCGTGCGCATGTCTGTGTGTCTACACCCATCTGTTTGTCTGGCTTGAGTACGAGAGCAGGTCTGGATACCAGACTTTTGTCGCTATAGTTACCCACTTTTTATAGTAATCTGGAATTTATGTTAATATTTGACAAACCTGGCATGCTGCTCGTCTAAATATGCTATTTTTCTGAACAATAGATGATAGTTATACGGTGTTTTCTCGCGCGCTGTATCAACAGTTAGATACCATTGTGACGAAAGTGTTACTGTATTCGTATCTTCATTTTGTTGAAATAAACGTACGAGTTCCAAGAATTTCAGGGCTATAGTGGAGAGTGGTTAAAGGGCGGTAGTCGTCACGCTGCACATGTGCGACATTTGTGTTGATAAACATTGATTTTCCCACAATCCAAAGCGCTCTTCTAATGAAATCATAAGTATTAGATTTGACCTGGGCCCGACTTGCACTAATCACCGCCGGTGACTCCTTCGAAGCATGGAAACATCTCAGTTTGTACTCGTTGCCTTGCGCAACAGTCAAAGTCGCCATCTACGTTCATATATAGCACCCATATATCTCGCGCATGCGTGGCGCGACGACTGCCGCCCTTTAACCAAGCAGGACGTCAGGCTGGTGTCTAAAACGAAAAGTGTTTCAGATTTGTCGCTGACCATTTACAATACACAAAATACTGGAAAGAATTTTATTTTCGATTAAAACCACAAACCTTCCATGTTTTATATATACAGTTTCCCTTCACATTGTCCATTGTCAAATAAAAAGCAAACATATAAATACAAATTATCGCAGATGAAAGCATTATGACCTCACAGAATTATATACACATTCCACTACGTGGTGAATTTGGCCAAACACATGGATGGGACATCAACCCGTGATTTTACTCAGACTTACCTTATCCTCGGGGGCGGACATCCGGGCATTTTCACCGCCCGGCAACCCTCGCGGTGAAAACAAAAGCCAAAAACGGTACAGAAACAGAAAACAGTACTTTGGGATGGTTGTTGAGACTCCCCTGAACAGTGTAACAAGATTATCCCTACGTGTGTAACATATATGAATTTGGTTGTTCGGGATTACTTCAAAGTTGAGTTCGTGTTGTTTTCTCGAATTTTCACCGGCTCGACCTGCGTTCCACAGACATCGCGCACAGAGCCCATAGAAATACATGTACAGTGGTGCGCGTCTTAGCAACGTGGAACATCTTGTGACGTAGCTCCGCCCCCGAGGATAGAATAGATCATACTTATTCGCTGATATGCGAAACGCGCATAATTCTCCACTTCCAATACACAGCAAAAGTTCTCTTATGATATACTGTGAAACAATTTATTTTAGATGGAATTAATTTTCACTGAAAAAAACGTTTTGACCAGTCACTGGTAGCATAGTGGTTGTCGCATCAGACTCAGGATCGGTAGACCCAAGTTCAAATCCTACCCGGCTAAGGCTGAACATCAAAAGCGTGGACCCCTACCGTGGGTGAGTGTGCCACATACTCAATGGGGAGGCCAATTCCACTGGCCGAGATTCATTCACTAACGAATGCACTATGTGTCAGCACTTGCACTTGCAATTTGCACATACAAAAAAATAAGGAAAGACAACAAAGTCCGGAACTGAATTATTTTCACAGATTTTTGGCGAGTTGAATGTGAAATATAGGAAAGAAAGTTATACAAGTATTCGCTGGATTTTATTTTCACTGAATCATTACCTCAGCGAAAATAGCGAAAATAAAGTATTTTACAGTAAACAGACCACTTTTCTAGAAGTCGAAAATACGGCGTTCCGCATGGACGCAACCAAATATGAAGAGACAGCATTGACACGCAGATCGCCGCAAACCAACCGATCTGACACATACCGCGTGGAACTATGGGAAAAATGGTCGGAACTATTTCTACATTGTGTCAACACAGGTGGCGCTATCTGATGAAC